AAAATGTTGTTCTACCTATTGCCACACGTGTACTTATTATGTATAAGCTACAGACATTTGGCTATTTATGCACAAAGTGAATGCGGAAGTTTGCCTTTTTCTCGTCGCAATACCTTTGCTTGGTTTGTGTTGACGTCAATTAATACCACTGACTACCTAAACTATCCAGATATGGATATCAAACATGTACTGAGAATTTGTAATTCAGTTTAGTTTTCATTGTTGACATATTAGTATAGTTAAGGGGCTTATATGTAAGATGTGTTTTGTAGGGCTTATATAAGCCCATGTTATCTTATCAATGAGATTAGGGTTTCAATTCTATTTGGTATCAGAGCCTCCTCCAAACCCTAGCCGCCGCCCCCCCCCCACCCCCCCTCTCATGTCCACCTCGCTGGCCCCCCACATCCCCCATCTTTGCGGCTTGCCTCCCCTCCACCAACCGTTCGGATTCACCGAAAACCCCATAACCTTTGGATCAGCAGCCAACCGGCCCCCTCCACTTCGATCAGCCCACCCCCCCTATCCTTACTCCGATAGCCCCCCCCCTCCTCCCACTTCCGATCAGCCCCCCCCCTCGCATTCCGATCGCCACCCCTCACTCCGCTCACTTGTCGATCAACCGGCCCGCCCCCTTTTTCACTTCCGATCAGATCCCCCCCCCCCTCACTTCCGATCAGCCCCCACTTCCGATCAGCAGCCCCCCCCCCACTTCCGAACAGCCCCCCTCTCGCCAACAACACCCCCTCCTTTTTTTCTACACCGTGTCCGAACGCTCGAAGCTTGACATGGTTCCGTCGACACGCGCGGATCAGTCCTCGAACTGATGACGATGAAGATGTATATATTCACGTCGATGAGAATATCCCTACTTTTTTATTCTTGTTTCCTCTGAGAAACGAGCAGTTTGTCTGAAGATCTTACCTTTTTGGCAGCAGAGGTGCTGTCGAAATTTTCCCTGCCAGCAACAAGGGTCGAAGAGAGAGGTGACCAGGCTGTGGGTTGAGAGCTTGATTATGGAGGAGATTATCAAGAAAGTTGAACCCCGCGGAGGTGTCAACTTTGATGAAGCTGATGAAGTTGTCGGCTGGTGAGAGCGCGACAAAACCATCCAAGAAGTTAGAACTTCCTACCATAGATCTGAAGCTTGATGGACCATGTACTTACCTGAGCTGGTCACGACGGATGAGATACACCCTTGCAGGGAGGAACCTGGAGGATTATCTGACAGGAGAGGTGACAGAGCCGGATGAGGACTCGGAGGGGAGAGATGAGTGGAAGGCCACTCACATGTTGGTGTATATCTGGCTCCTCAACTCATTGGTCCAGTCGATCGCCGCCACAGTTGATGCCATTGAGAAGGTGAAGGATGTCTGGGAGAATTTGAGGAGGACCTATGATGGAGTAGAGAATAACCTGCGGGTGTTCCAGATTAAGGGAGAGATCGACGCCACAGTCCAGGAAGAGAGGACTGTACAGGAGTATGCCACAGAGCTGGAACGTCTGTGGCTAGATTATGATCACTTCTCACCTCGGGCGAGCTGTAAGGACTCGGGATATAAAGAGCGGGAGGCCTTCCTACAGGAAAGGACTATGGTATTCCTCACGGGATTAACATCAGAGTTCGCTCAGCGAATTGCATTGTTGCTCATTCATCCGAAGATTTCCACGCTTGAGGAGGCTGTCTCTGTTATGATCCAGGAGGAGACTCGTATTAGGCTGCAGGCGGGGACAGGTGGACTTCCTGTGGTGAAGTCAGCACTGGCAGTCTCTAGCAACACTAGATCTAGGGAAGAGACTCGACAGTGTTACAACTGCGGTGCGGTGGGTCATCTAAGGCATGCTTGCACCAAGCCACCCAAGAAAGGAGATTCGGGTGGACGTGGACAGTTCGGAGGTCGTGGTCGTGGCCGTAGGGGTCGACGAGGTGGAAGAGGAGCAGGGAACCGGGCGAATCTGATGATAGCAGAGGAAGAAGAAGTTGAGGTGGTCTTTACTGAGAAGGATCGTGCTCTCCTGGCGATACTCGGGAGGAAGCAGCAAGTAACAGGGGATGAAGACTTAGAAGTGGAACGAGGAGGCATCCACTTCGTTTTTCACCAGAGGCAACACTGCTACCTATGCTCATCCGACCAAAGGTACTGATGACATACATGCTCTTGCTTCTATGTCTCCCGACAGATCATCAGAATGGATAGTCGACTCTGGTGCGTCTCGACGTGTGACAGGTAATGCTAGTGAGTTCTCATCATATACTCATTTAGCATCGCCTGATAGTATTCAAACAGCTGATGGTACATTTCAGCCGGTGGTTGGTAAGGGTACAGTCGATTATACTGGTTCTGTAACTTTATCCAATGTTTTGCATGCTCCTTCCTTTCCAGTCAATCTTTTGTCCATTAGTTCTATCATCCTCCAACTAAAATGCATTGTTTCTTTTGATATTCCCAAGGTGGTTTTTTAGGAGAAGGGGACAGGGCGGAGACTTGGGACTGGCACATGGCGTAGTGGACTGTGGTATCTGGATCGTGAAGGGCTGGATTCAGCATTGGTGTCAGTCGTAGAGGAAGCAGGAGTAGGATCTAAAATGAGTGCTGAGTGTGAGTTAATGCTTCATCACCAACGTTTGGGACACTCATCCTTTAGTGTTTTAGGTAGATTGTATCCTTCCTTATTTGAAAAAGCAAATAAACAAGAACTTGTGTGTGATGCATGTGAGTTTGGAAAGCTTACTAGAAGCTCTTATGTTAGTTCTAGTCATAGAAGTTCTCATGCATTTGACTTGGTACATTCAGATGTTTGGGGGTCTTGTTCCACAAGTTCTATGAATGGATACAAGTATTTGTTACATTTATTGATTGTTTCTCTCGTGTTACTTGGTTATACCTGATGAAGAATAAGAGTGAAGTGTTTGGATGCTTCCAAAACTTTCATAGAAATGTTCAGACTCAATACGGAGCAGTGGTGAAGGTATTAAGGTCGGATAATGGGACAGAGTATACCAACAGAGCGTTTGAAGAATATTTGTCAGCTCAGGGAATACATCACCAGACAACCTGTCCATACACACCAGCTCAGAATGGGGTAGCGGAAAGGAAACAACCTGTCCATACACACCAGCTCAGAATGGGGTAGCGGAAAGGAAGAACATATATCTTTTAGAGGTTGTTAGAAGCATGATGATCTCTATGAATGTCCCAGAAACATTATGGGGGCAAGCAATATTGACTGCAGCAGCGCTGATCAACAGAATGCCCTCGAGAGTGCTGGATTGGAAATCTCCGTGTGAGACATTGAAGGGAGATAATGGTGGGATTCTTCCACTTAAAGTGTTTGGTTGTGTGTGCTTTGTGAAGAACAACAGGCCATCTGTCGGGAAACTTGCCCCTAGAGCTGTGAAGTGTATCTTTGTGGGATATTCTGCTACTCAGAAGGGATATGTTTGCTAGAGCCCGGTGGAAAAAAGGTTGTTTGTGAGCATGGATGTGTACTTTCGAGAACTCGAGTCATATTACACCCGGAAAGTAACTTCATCCGTTGGTAACTCGCCCAATACTAGAAGTATGAGGCGAGAGGAGGAGAATGGTGAGAGATCGGTGAACAATGTGAAGAAATCAATTTCTGTATCGATTCCTTGGGAGGGAGAATTGGTTGAGGAGGAGCAGGAGAATGAAGAAGAAAAGGAAAATGAGACAAGAGGTGTTAGGCCCACGGTTCAGTGGGAGCTATTAATCTATAGTAGGAAGGGAAAATAAATTATAGGAACAGTACCTATAGTGCCACTAGTGCTGCCAAGTCTCTTACCAACGCCTGCCCCGACTCCTGAGACACCTACACCACCACCAGTTTCATCCCAAGGTGATAACATTCCTCTCCCTACTGATAACATTCCTCTCCCTACTCCTCCCACACCAATATCAGTACGGAGGACTACTCGTAGTAATACGGAAAATCCTCCCGATAGATATGGTTGGGATCTTGCCCAATTTGTATCATATTCTAATATTCACCCTACACATGGGGCATTCATTGCATCATTGGACTCTGCTACTGTACCTAACAATTGGCAGGTTGCTAAGAAGGACCCAAAGTGGAAAGCGGCTATGCACGAGGAGCTAGGGGCTCTTGAGAAGAACCGCACTTGGGAGTTAGTAAAACTACCAAAAGGGAAGAGAGTAGTTGGATGCAAGTGGGTCTTCACTGTGAAGCAGAATCCAGACGGACAGGTTGAGCGCTGGTGGCAAAAAGGATATAGTCAGACATATGACATCGACTATGATGAGACTTTTGCACCGGTGGCGAAGATGAGCACTGTTCGGACCTTGATCTCTCTGGCAGTAAATGGTGGATGGAAGCTACACCAATTAGATATGAAGAATGTATTTTTTTATGGAGATCTGGTGGAAGAAGTATACATGGAAATTCTGTCAGGATTCGATATAGATCAGACAGTGGGCAAGGTCTGCAGATTGAAAAAGTCTCTATATGGTCTGAAGTAATCTCCTCGTGCTTTGTTCGACAGATTTAGGCGGGCTATGATAGGTATGGGATACCGGCAGATTAACGCCGATCATACCGTGTTCTTTCGACGAAATGAAGGTCACATCACCATGCTTGCGGTATATGTGGATGATATGATTATTACAGGGGATGATGAGAAGGAGATTGCCCAACTCAAAGTGAGACTGGACAAGGAATTCGAGGTGAAAGATCTTGGCTTGCTTCGATACTTTCTTGGAATAGAGATAGCTCGAGGAACGGAGGGGATTGTCCTATCCCAGAGAAAGTATACACTGGATCTTCTCAAAGAGACAGGGATGTTAGGGTGTAAATCTGTAACTACACCGATCGACCAGAAGTTCAAGCTGGGTGTTGTAGCTGGAGAACCAGTTAACCATGACAGATACCAAAGTCTGGTGGGCAGGTTGATCTATCTGAGTCACACACGTCCCGATATCTCTTTTGCAGTAAGCGTGGTGAGCCGCTACATGCATGATCTAAGGAAGGGTCATATGGACGCTGTGTACCAGATTCTGAGATATTTGAAGAGTGCCCCCGGAAAATGGCTGATATTCAGAAAGAATAGACATGTGAGCATTGATGGTTACTGCGACTCTGATTGGGCTAGTTGTGCTGATGACAGGAGGTCCACCTCAGGATATTGCATCTTTATAGGAGGCAACTTGGTCTCGTGAAAGAACAAGAAGCAGTCAGTGATGGCGAGATCAACAGCTGAAGCAGAGTATAGAGCTATGGCCTTAGGAGTTGCGGAGTTGTTGTGGTTGAAGAGTATGCTGGTGGAGCTGAAGCTGGATCAATGAACAAAGATGAAACTGTGGTGTGATAACAAGTCAGCCATCAGTATCGTCAATAACCCAGTGCAGCATGATAGAACCAAACACATTGAGATCGATAGGTTCTTCATCAAAGAGAAGTTGGACAGTAGACTACTGGAGTTAAGTCATGTTTCAACTAAAGACCAGGCAGCAGATTGTCTGACTAAGGGACTTAGCTCAGTAGATATGATTAGAGGATGTGACAAGATGGGCTTAGTGGATATCTTTCGCCCATCTTGAGGAGGAGTGTTGACATATTAGTATAGTTAAAGGGTTTATATGTAAGATGTGTTTTGTAGGGCTTATATAAGCCCATGTTATCTTATCAATGAGATTAGAGTTTCAATTCTATTTCATCAAAGTAGAAAGATATGCCAAAGGATTCTGAAATAGTACTGTTTCTTTGAAGTGTGAAATTTTTGTGATAGGCATCTCACTGAGAAACTAGAAGGTCTCGACCGTCTGGTTGTAGGTTTAGGCTGATGGCAAGTTATTTCAGATAATCCGTTCTGGGTTTTATAGCTACATGTAATGTATTTGACCTTACATCGTCTTTTGAATGGTGGTAATGTTTTACAGTCATAATATTTGAGGTCAAATGTTCTTCTCATTATAATTATGAACACATCCTTTTTTTTCCCCTCCTTTTCGTTCAGGCCACTTGTTGAGAGTGGGAAGAACCCACAGAAATATATCAGATATTCGCCAGAAGATCTTGACCGAATGCTAGGTGAGTTCTTCGAAGGAAAGCTTCCAGGAGCCTGAAGTCAAGTTTGAAAGGTGCCGTTATGTTTGTAATGTTGTATATTTTAGGTAGCCCCTTGTGCACAGGTTAATATAACTTTTAGTTCCGTGTATCGCTGTAGAATCTTGTATCGCTTCTCTGTGGAATTTGTTGGTCCTGAAGGAAGGGTTGGGTTTCAGGGATGTATTTTGAATGATTAGTTAAAATAATAAAGCTACTAACATAACTTTAGCTTTTGAGATACTCTGTGATAGTTATATTTAACTTCTTTGTACATTTTAAAGACCACAATAGAATTGCATGGAAAAATATTATTGTTGTCGATCCTAATATTTGAGATAAAAGTTTTGCTGCTGTTGTTTATTTACATTAAAGAAATTATTTCCTATCTCCAAACGTTTTGATAGCCATCAATTTTAATATGATACTGTTCAAGTATTTGTTCTGGTGTTTGAAAAAATAATATTTGTTCCAAGGGTTTTTTTTAAGAGCCCGCCTTTAACATAGGGTCATTCTATAGAAATTATCTTTATTTTTCAATTAAAATATGAATAATCTGTAAAGAGTTTGTAAAGAGTTTCTTGTTGCAATCAACACCCTGACTCTACTTTTCAGATAATTTTTTAGGTAATTAATCCCACCTAACCTCCATCAAAGATTTATCTCTTTGATATACTGGGTATTTAACAAACTAGTTATTATAGAAAAATCGAGAAAAGTTGACTTAAAAATGAGTTCAGGTGGGTGCTTGCAACAAAAAAACTATTTTTTTTAAGAAAAAATATCCTCACTATTTAAAATATTATGTATACTAGAATTTTGACTATGAAAACGTTTTATGTTTGTATTAATAAATATATGTGAAGATAATTTCATCTTTCTATAAAGAGTGTGCATTTAAGAGATACGCGGAGAGAATAACAGTCAAGCAATATTTCTTTGAACCTAAAATCCTCCATTGATTTTCTTTATGCATTAGTATAAATAAATTATTCTATAGTTATATGCATAGAACTTTGCTTTTTTATAACATAAA